GTGCTATAGAGTGCAATAAACTACAAGTGCATACAAGGATCACTCATGCACAACGCGTGACCTCGGTGGAAAGCCCGGTCTGCCGGCCCGGTTGCGAATCAGTTCCCCCACACTGACGTCGTTGCACATACGAGTCTGGTACACACATTGTGTTTCGGGACACCGTCCGGCCCGGACGGTAGGCAAACAATGAAGACCCGCTAGTTCTGGGTGTGGTGGAAGTGGAATATAAAATCTCATAACTTCTGTAGGGATATCCTGAAAATTTCAGGCAGGAAACGGTGGTCGTGGAAAGCAACGTACATGTAATGACATGATTTATATTGATCAATGTCTAATTGCTCGTTTTATGTACAGTTTGACCATTCTGTAGCTTTTAGCGAGACACAGATCTTTTCTGGTGTTTGAAAACTTTGTGGAACAAAAAAATGGTTGAATCAATGGCCCGGTAACTATCTAAGACTAGGCCTAACACATGGGTGTCATGGGTGCCAATACGGCATGTTTTAAATTTATTATCGTTGTTATTGTTACTAAATCATAAATGCTGGAATTGTTTTATCTTTTCTTAAAACATTTTGGATTTGGGAGTCTTCATAACCAGCTACTGTTCTTTTTCCCTCTGTTTCTTTGTTTTGTTGACAATAATTTCAAAAGGGGTTAAGACACATTTTACTGATTTGTAAATCCAGTTGAAGGTACATGGTATCTCTTGTACAAACATCCACCCCAGTATCTGTAATAGAATAATATAAAAGTTAATCACAATCTGAATCAACTAAAATAACGGTATGCAGAGTCATTCACGAAAGTTCAAGCCGTGACAATTGTGTATAAACACGCTATTATCTGTCGCTGGGGACGAGACTATAGGGTCACGAATTTATTTGCACGGGTACATTTAGGTACGAGTTAAGCAAAGTTCATTCTTAACTAGAAACTCACATGTAATGAAAACCATTCGGATTACATGTGTAAACTCCTTTACGAAACACGAAGGCACTAAACCTAGTCACTACAATGAACATTGTTGTTTTTTTTACAAAATTCATTACCACGACGGATATTCACCTAACTACTACGATGAATACCACTTACAACACTGTATGATACAAATGGTTAATTACCTGCACATTCAAGCCCTATATAATTAATGGAACATAGAACAAAACATATCGATAGTTTACAACGAAAGCTATTCTCTAATACGTCACACTAAAAAAGGAATCTGTCATACCAGCCCCGACTACGAAGTTGCACGTATCGCATTGAATGTCATTTTTCCGTCCGCATTAATGGTTCGTACTTGGGAAGTTGCCATCGTTTCACGGGTCAATGAACCCTCAAAAACGCCCGTTCGAAGGTTGGTCTATTTATGTGTGCACACGAGGGTTATCGAGCGAGTGCAGGTATTGCAAGGGTTTGCATCTCAAGCAGTTACGAGACCCTCAAAAGCGCACGGAAACAGCCGTAAGTCCTCGTACTCGATTGCATTTCATGGGTACTTCAATTTAATCATTGGTGTAATTTTGCAGTTGTGTGTTCACAAACGTCCCGTCACAGTATTTTGGTTTTCTGTTGGGTTTTCTTGTGCATTGTGATGGATCGTGGTTGATGCTCACCCAGTGCTTGTCGATGTGACAATGGCAACCTGTGTGAACATGACAGTAATGATTCACAATGAAGGCAAGCATACTTTCATCACTTTTTATTCATAATTTTTTCAGGTTTTTTTTAATTGGCCTGCCAAAACTTGCCACACCGCATTGTGAAGCACAAACTGCATCTACACCTACCCCGACATCCTGACTGCTAATGCATGCCCATTCATGGACAGTCCAATCGCTGACTTTTTCCAATAACCATGTGACCACAGAAAGTAACATGTCATTAGAAACCCAAGTGAAAACAGACCCGATATGTCACACCGAACACAATCGGTGAAAAGATGAGATTTGCTACATGAAGATACACGTACAATTTAAGAAGGTGATTTTATTTGTCGATCGAAAGAAACCTTTGGATAACAACACTGTTGATTTTTTTGTGTGCCAAACTACACCACAAGAATAAATAAAAAGTGGGCAAATAACCCATGTCGCCACAGCCGAGCAAGTTAAGTTTGTTGTAATACACACATTTTATGTGCTTAGTTACCTCATGACTTGGGGACTCCCATTTAATCACTCAACATCCAGACAACTTTTAGACATTTATTCTCCGACATTGATGAGTGGTTATTTATCGTAATCCAAGAAAACAACTGCGCCACGCAGGCGCGGCTCGCCATGGTGAGCACATCCCTTTTCGCAGCGTTAACTTTCAAATGCAATGTACTGTACATGTACACACAGGCCTAACTACATGTGCATGCCATTTAGCTTAGCTGTCATCCATGGTGATTGAAAGCCTTTCAAAAATCCCTTGATAGATGCATTCACGAGCATTTGCTTTTTTAAAAATCTCACAGGCACATTAAACATGTTGTCATACGACAGTGAATTTTATTATTCTAAACACATCACAGTATATTTGATTAACTATAACCGAGAGATCTTTTAGATATAATATCAACCACACATTCACATGTATGCACATAAATGTACGTGCATAAACGTGCATATGTACAACAATGCACCGAAGCCATTGCCTTGTGTTCCAATTACAACAAATTTCTGATAGAGCGATCATTTCTATGCAGATTTCGTAATAAGGAGAGTCGACTGTATGTTGAAATGCAGTTTTGACTTCAAGAAGCATTATTAGCTGCGAATTTTGTGAAGCAGGTGTTCAGTTTTGAAATTGGCAGCATAAATTCGACACCAACTTACGTAAAAAAAATTACGTTCATGTTGATTATTTAAGAGTTGGCAAATGTTGAACATCATTTGCCCTCTCAGTGTTAACCTGGATTAAAGGAACCTGTATTACGATCCATTATTCTACCTTCACATCATGAATTTTGAGTTGTTCTTCATCACGTGAAGGCAATGTGCAGTAAAATAACGTCACATATACAAAACCTTCAGGGCAAATCTGTGCCTGTATTGTGCATGTGAGCAGATCACTTGAATGCTAATGACTTGACAAACATTCACGATGCACAGTGACAAATGAGGTGCGTCCTGGATGGTCAGTCATGTTCACATGACTCCGACTCTTCCATTTTCTTCAAGGGGAAGGATGAAACCCTCTTTTTATATAAAACTTGTGAAAGCTTACAGCAAATAAAATATTTTTAAATCACTTTTATACACAGTAGGTAATTATTACAATAGGCAAACAAAACTTATTTATTTCACGATTATCTCGACTAATCGATTGATCGTGATTAGTTCCTCCTACTTGTTTCACTACTCGTGGATTTGCAACTAATCGGTTAATTTCGCCAGCCCGATTAGTAACTGTAGAATTACGTGCAAGTAGTGATTGTTATGGAGTACCGATTAAGTTACACACACTACCACACTGTGCATGTACAATGTGTGAGTGCATGTAATGATAGACCAATTTACACGATCATGATCAGGGGTACGCCTGCTGTATTTCGGGCAGTCTGCACTGACAGGCTTGTGGTCGACTGGGCCGGCAGCAGTTCAGATCAACAAACTTTAACCTTTCCTAGTATTAATCTTAAAGTTCAAAAATGTAGTAAGAGTTGCTAACCGCAAGTATCCAAGGCTTCTCTGTCATGTTAAAAGACAGTAAAGGATTTGTAGTTCATGGGATCGTACACGTATATTGCATGTAATTCTAAACAATCTGGATGTTTCAAATTACACACAGATCCATTTTTTGAGCTAGTTATTTTGCATCTTGGAGTTTTGAACTTTCTGACTGAAACATGTAAATGTAGAACAGCCTTACTGCCCCAATGATAGTGCAAACAAAGGCTACCCATTCACAAAAAATTTGGAAGTTTCTCTGTTTCATGAATTTTTTACCACACTTAGTGAAGAGTCTGTAGAATAATTAGCTTGGTGGGTCTGATGAGTAATGCCTTAACCATCATGCTTCTTTTTCAATGAATGAAACAATTTTTCTCTGTGTGAAATTCTGACTTCCAGTATTATGTATCTCATTTTGTATAATTTAGAATTATTGCTCCATTCTATCAACCTCAACGTGATTAAACTCAAAACACCTGTGAAGAAACACATTTACACAAATGAGAATTTCTCAAGGTAGTGGTCGAATGCGATCACTTACTGCACTGGCAGGCCTGAAAAGTTCAGACAGAATACCCTTTGAGACAGACGGGCACCGAAACCCAACCACGTGGCCACACTGCATGCACTGTGCAGCCCCAATCTTAGAAAGTGTGCCAGATACCAGCCCAGTTTGGCAGTGCCAAAATGACGTCGCGAGACTGCGGCTGCAATCATTGGCCAGTAATCCATCCATCGGTTTGTGATAATTTATTCATATTGCCCCACATGCTCAAACAATGAATGAAGGCTGAACAACAATGTCTGTGGGCTATACCATTGAGAAGTTTAGGGAGATTATTATTTAGGGAGGCGCTGAACACTCTGCGGGGCCTGGCGGGCACTGTGTAGTTGCGGGTACGTACATGTATATTCAACTAGTTGCACGGGCCTACTTTCATCACTGAACCTGAACCAATCATTTATGTCAGGAGTTCCAAACTCAGATTAGCATAATAGCCGACGATTAAAATGAACATGCCATTCCAATTGTGGATTGGCTGGACTCTCCAGTACAAACAGGTCATGGAATCAGCTGTTTCAATCATGGATTTTCCTGTTGACAGGAAACCTAAATGACCTGACCTAAATTTGGGTAGGGCGTTCTGAATGCGGAGTGAACGGAATATTCATGTTTGCAGATTAACATACATCGTTCTTGCCGCGTACAGTTGTTGTCAAGTGCTCTTTTGTTAAAAAAAGTTCGTGGACTCCAGTGCACTTCCCCCGGGAAGAATGGTCAAGCCTTACTGGTAAACCCCCTTAAGAAAACACATATTGGAGACTTCTTACCTCTTTTTTCTCCAGCTTTGTACGGAACTTTGTCCTCCCAGTCTTTCTCTTCCTTAGCTTTCTTCTCTAAAAACTCAATGAGGTGCTGTCGATCAAAAGGGCCTGTTGGGGTTTTTTTGGTCTGGTCTTTCTGCCTTTCAGAAGCAGGTAAGGACTCATTCTACAATACAAGTACATGTAAAAAAGGACAACACAATCAATTTATTGAAGTAACAATGCAACAACTTTCGCCAAATTCTTGTGCAGAAAGACACTGTCATGAGCAAATTTTTTTTCTTTTTAAACTTTTCCTCTCTAGTATTTTGGTGTCTTTATTTTGGTGCGTGTCTGTACAGCAAAGTATTAAAGTCATTTTCTCCCCACCCGAGTTATTTACATATAGATTCAGGTGAAGAAAGCCAGAACTAGTAGTTGAGGAATTTTTTCCTTTCACTCAATACATCTGAGACTCTGAGTGAAGCAAGAGAAGATTAACTGTAAGTTATTCACTGATATTGATGTATTTATTTTGAAAAAAAGTCTAAATTACTTGTTCAAGTCAATTTTGAAATTTATTGCAGCTTGTGCTATACATGTAGTTAACATGATTATTCTGTGTTAAACATCAGATTTCATTATCGTGTGTTAAGGATAACGAACAAGTCAAAGTATAGATTTTGATGATCCATTTACATGTACATTGAAATCAAAGGGAGTAGACTGTTGTGATCAATGCAATGAGACCTTTTTATTGCAATAAGCACAACAAGGTAGACTTTCCAGGTGTTAGGGAGTTTAATTCAATGCATTTTGGAACAGTGCAACATAAAGAGTATTCTACGTATACTGCGATTGACGCATTTGGCTCCACACATGATTTTGCAGTATTATGTGATTTAAAACTAAAATTTACAGTCCAGCGAAATTTTACAAAATTACTGATAAACGCCCATCATGTTAAGTGTGATTTAATGACACTGCTGTGAGACGGTATGGCATAAAGCTTGAGAATAAAAAAATGAAGCACAGTGAAAGTCCCGGAAAATGTCATTTCCTGCTTGTGTCAAAAAAGACGCATCCACTTGGAAGGCCAACAGTGGCTTCAACAAAAAGAGAGACCCACACAGAAAATTGGTTTGGCTGCCAACAATTGGTGCTGTGTAATCCTCCCCCACATTAGTGTGGGTCAGGTCCCCTAGAGATACTTACCCCTGCCGACCCTACATATATGCAAATTTCCCACGAGTACAGAACTGTGATTTAGTTTGATTCTACTGAGATAATTATTCATGTTAACCATTATTTTCATTATTCACATTAACCATCAGATGCTGTCATCATTGCTTGAAGTAGAGTATTAAAGAAATGCCAGTACACTGCAGCAAAGAGTTTCAAGCTCATTTATGATGACAGCATCAAGAAGAGGCACGGACATTTGAGCAGCAAGGCCTTTTGTCAGGTCGTACACGTACAATTCTACAGCAAAGCTGTCCTCCATCTTTTTGCCTTGGATGCGCACTCTTTCTCTCCTCTACAACCATGAGTGCCATACATGTACCTTGCCCAGCACCGGACTGCACTGCATCATGGCCCAGTTCACCCCCCCCTCGAGGTCCTCCTCCGCCTCATCGACCTTCATGAAAGGACCACCCAGCTGATCCCGCCCACACACACAAGTGTATATTTTCCTGCAACTGGGGACCCCCTATTGTTCCTCTTGTGTTTGTAACTTTTTTGAAGACCACCCATATGTTTTGTACACAGTTGTCAATCTGGGACTTTATTGTCCTCTATTGTTCAGGGTCTCCAACTGCATGCAGAAACAAACTCACAAGCACCCACTTCAAGTGCGGTCAAGGCAGAGAAGGTGAAGCGGCCTGTGAGAGCGGCTGCTGGCACAAGCAAAGAGTGGGCTTACTTCGAACACAGATGGTCAGACTACAAGGCTGCCACACATCTCACGGGCTCGGACATAGTCTTCAAGCTACTAGAATGGTGTGATGATGCCCTTAGGAGAGACCTCATATGGACCTTTGGCGCCCTTGCTTCCAGCGATGAACAAACCATCCTGACCAACATCAAGTCACTTGCTGTCCGCCAGGAAAATGTCATGGTTGCATGAGTCCAATTGCAGCAGATGCACCAGGACCATGATGAGCCAGTATGGGCTTTTTCTGCCTGCCTCCGACCAGGCAGGGGTGTGCAGTTTTTAAAGATTGAATGCAAATGCAAAACCCAAGTCGACCACAGTGACTTCATGATTTGAGATGCCTTCATCCGGGGGCTCGAAGATGAGGAGATACGACTGGACATTCTCAGTGAGTCCACACAAGATGTGTCACTTGAAGAGGTACTAAAGTACGTTGAGGCCAAAGAGAGTGGCAAACGGTCAGCTGGCCACCTTTTAGGAAGCAGTACCAATGTGACTGCCGCCACCACAAGCTCTTACAAATGCCAAGAGAAGGGCCGACCGCATGGCAAACCAAGTGACACAAGAAATGCTACGCCCACCCCGTGCAGCCACTGTGGCAAGACTAGCCATGGACGGAGTAGGCAAGAACGTCAGAGAAAATGTCCAGCCTACAACCACACATGCACCAAATGTGGTACCCTACATCACCATGAGAATGTGTGCCGTTGGTCAAGGCGTCAACAGCAACCCTCGCCGCCGCCCTCACCCACAACACACAATGATGCAACTGCAGTCTTCGAGACCCTGTGCTTCCTCAATGACACCTTGCTGGCCAGTGTTCATGCAACAATGCTCGAACACCATATCTACAACAAATTCTGTGACGCTTGGGAGAAGCGAACATCTGACCCCCAACCCTTCATCACCATCTCCATCCAAGCCGTTCCATCAGATGTACAGGCCCTTGGTTTCTCTACAACCCTCATCAGCCCTAACCTCCACCATCTACCCAGCTGTGGCTGACACCGGATGCCAGTCATGCCTCTCAGGCATGTCCCTCCTGCCAAAACTGGGCCTTGAGAGGAAACATCTCATGCCTGTCACCATTAAAATGACTGCTGCTAACAACAATGGCATTGACATTGCAGGTGCCTTTATCGCTCGTCTCTCTGGCACCTCCCCGTTGGGGGAGACACTCGGGACCCATCAGATGGTGTATTTCACTGATTCCTCTGACCATCTCTTCTTATGGAAGCAGGCTTGCATCACCCTTGGCATGATCTCCCCTTGGTTCCCCATGATAGGAGAGGCACATAAGCCCAACGACACCACAATAGCATCATCTGATTCTGCGCTGGCACCTGACTCTGGCATCAGGCATCACCCATCCCTGTGAATGTCCACGATGCCAGGCACCACCCCCTCCTCTGACATCCCTCCCATTCCCCGCCACGGAGGAGAACCGTGGGAAGCTTGAGAAATGGCTACTCGAGCACTACCGATCAAGCACATTCAATGTGTGTGAGCATCAGCCACTACCCATTTTATCCAGCTCCCAACTGTGACTAATGGTGGACCCTAATGCTTGACCAGTCGCTCACCACACGCCCATCCCTGTCCCCATCCATTGGCTGGATGATGTGAAGTCGAACCTCGACCAGGATGTACGCCTCGGTGTCATTGAGCCAGTCTTCATTGGCACGCCTCTTACGTTGTGCCACAAGATGGTCGTCTGTGCAAAGAAATCAGGCAAGCCCAGGCGGACAGTGGACCTCCAACAGTTGAATCGCTATGCCATTCGTGAGACCCATCACACCGAATCACCTTTCCACCAGGCACAAGCTGTTCCCCCCCAACACAAGCAAAACTGTCTTTGATGCATGGAATGGGTACCACAGCATTGCCCTTGATGAGCTGGAATGTACTCGACAATCCGGCCAATCCACGATTGGAACGGCATGTTTATTATAATCGTCAGCTATTATGCTAATCTGGGTATAGAACTCCCGCAGAGTATGCAGCACCGCGCCATGTGTGCACAACATACTGTACATTCCCAATTGCCTGTTCCGAGCAGCTGCACACTGGCAATGCACCATGCCCAATGAATGTACACATTGATGTTTCTTTATTAGTCAGAAATTTTATTTTACAAATAAGTGTTTAATTTTGTGATGTTTCATTCCAAATTGTTTCCCGTAATTTCTCCCCTATCAAAAAGCTGAATTGTAAACTGTTTGGTGCCCGGATGAATTCATACACAAAAAAGGGATTATTAGTCTTTTTTGTAGTTAATGCTTACTGTATAAACATTTGTGAAATAAAACTGTTTTGTTTGCCTATAGTAACAATTACTTTCTGTGTAAAGTGACTTACAAATATTTTATTCGCTACAAGCTTTCCCGATGTTGTTTCTATAAAAATAGGGTTTCATCCCTCCCCTTGAAGATGGAAGAGTCTGAGTCATGTGAATGTGACTGACCATCCAGGATGCACCTCGTCTGTCGACATGCATCATGCATGATAGTAAAGTCATTAGCATTCAGGTGATCTGCTCACATGCACAATACGGGCACAATTTCGTGCCGAAGGTTTTGAATACATGACATTATTTACTTCACATCGCATTCGCATGAAGTACAACTCAAAATTTATGACGTAAAAGTAGAGTAATGGAGTGCAATACAGGCTCCTTTAATCCAAGTTCACAAATTATGTTCAACATTTGCCAACTCTCAAATAATCGGCGCAAACGTGAATGTAAAATTTTTTTACGAAGTTTGTGCCAAATTTACACTGTGAATTTTCACAACTGAACACCTGCTTCACAAATTTCGCAGCTGATAATGCTTCTTTAAGTCAAAACTGCATTTCAACTTCAACTTCATTTCAGTCGACTCTCCTAATTACGAAATCCGTGTAAAAACATTCCGAAATTCGTTGTAGGTGGACCAAAGGGCAATGGCTTTGGTGCATTGTTGTACATTTGTACGTTTATGCATGTATGTACATACATGTACACGTGAACGCGTGATTGATGTTATATCAAAAAGATCTCTCGGTTATAGTTAATCACGTATACTGTGATGTGTTTAGAATAATAAAATTCACTGTCATATGAAAACGAGTTTAATGTGCATATGAGATTTAAAAACAGCAAATACATGTGAAAGCATCAATCCAGGGATTTCTGAAGGCTTTCGATCGTCATGGATGACAACAAAGCTAAACCGCATGCACATGTAGCCTGTGTGTACATGCAAGTATGT